ACGTGAGCAGCTGGTTTTGGCTCTCAGCAGCAAACTGGTTGATCCACTACGAGAAGGTGCTATTTATAAGACTGAGCTGAAAACAGCAACTCAGACTGAGGAAGTCTTTCGGATGAAAGACGAAACGTTTCTAAAATGATTATTATTATTATTTTGAATGTCCAGAGGACCAGATTTAACGTTTTTAGATCTGCATATAATGTTTAAAAAATATCATAACTTCAGTTTTTATTGTGCTGTTGTGAAAACTTTTGTTTATTTGACATTCAATAAAATATACTGTAAGGGTATGACAATTTGGTTTCTAACTTTCGTTAAATCTTGAATCACTAATTCTACAACAATGTCACATATCTTTAATCAGCTTACTTTGTTCAGACCAAACGTTTCCTTCCAGGTAAACTTATTTTAGAAACCAAACTTTAAAAGCTCGACTTCCTTTGAGGAGCGTTGGCTCTGCACGTCTGAAACAAGTGATGGCAAACTAACACTGTCCTCATAAGATCAGGTCACTATCCCTAAACTCCGTCACATACTGGAAATGTAAATTACACATTAGGTTTGTAATTTAAATATGTAATAATCAAATACATATTTTTCCATTAAAGTGAATTTGACTAACAAACAGTAAAGAATTCTGCAGTTTCTTTAAATTAAATGTACTCATCTTTACTCTGACACTAGGAATGCATTTGCTCAGTTTTTATTTTTATAATGCATTTATTAAGGATGTATGAGTTGTTCACAAATTATTAAAGTGGTGCATGACTGTATAAAGAATAAATCTGCATGAGTTATTACAGGACAACGTATAAACTATTAACATAGATCAATAGAACATTAGAAGTAGTTTAATCATTTTAATCAAAAAGAGTATTATGTATCTTAACACAGGAGTTTTGGTGTACCACTGAAACCTCATCAGAATCTAAAAATCACAGAGCCGTCCCCGGGGTTCTGTGTCCACACCCTGACAGAACAAAGTGGTATTTGTAACATCATGTATCGTCCACAATGTTGCTTCAATGTTGCAGCTAATGTGCATTTACTGTTTGTTTCATGTTGTTTGGAGTTTATGTACTATTGACATGTATGTGTACCATAGTTGTTTATGTGCAACTAATATGAGGTGCACTGAATAAAATCTCCACTGCTGGTGATGAAAACAATTCAGTTCAGTTTATTTCTATAGCGCCAAGTCACAACAGAAGTCATCTCAGGACACTGAACAGAAACATTCACATACATAAAAAGCCAGTTAGTACAAGTTATTTATCTGAGGAAGAAATGTGTTGAATCTTCCCTTCATCACAGTTTCCCATCCAGAGCAAACACAAAGGAGACAGGAAAGGAAAAACTATTTTAACAGGAAGAAACCTCCAGCAGAACCAGGCTTGGGACAAGCGGACATCTGCTTCGACCGGCTGGGTTTGAGAAGACAGAAGGAGGAACAAACACAGAATGGCAGGCCCAGAATGGAGGTGAGCAGGTCCTTCTAAAAACATGCTAAGATACAAATAATTACAAATTCAAACTATTCATTTGAGGAAATGTGGTCAATTTGTCCTCCAGTAGTCTAAGCCTATAGATACATAACTAAGAGATAGCTCAGAAAACCAACCCAACCCTAACTATAGGATTGATCAAAAAGAAAAGTCTTAAGCCCAGTTTTAAAACAAGTTGGTTCTACAAGAGAGGAGCTTGATAACTGAAAGATCTTCCTCCCATTCTGCTTCTGGAAACTCTATGAACTGCAAGTAAACCTGCAGTCTGAAAGCAAAGTGCTCTGTTAGGAAAATATGGAATAATAAGATCTGTAATATAAGATGAAGTTCAGTAAGTAAATGGACTGTACTTATTAGGGATACACGATATTGGATCTTTGGCCGATATGCCGATATGCCGATATGTTAAAACTTATTCAGCCGATAACTGATGCCGATACCGATATTTGATATACGTTCCTTTGTCAGAACATAGCCCTCTTATTTATGCTTATTTGCTACAAAAATTGTGCAACAGCTGCAAGAGCTGGTGACATATATTCAGTAACAGCCATATGATATGCATGGCACTTTGACTTATATTATTTGAAAAGTGTTAAATATTATTTATTAGCATTAGTCACCTGCGATGCTGTCTCACTTGTGGAGGCTTGTTCCAGGTTCCTAGCTGCAGTGTGGGATCCTCTGCACTCATGTGCATGAAGAACAGCCTTTTTAAGTTCAAAGTTTTTGTCTATCCATTGTTCCATAATATTAATCATGCTAACAGGGCTAACACGACGTCCGACTGTCTGTGGTAAAACTCACCTAACAAGTTGTGCTATTGGCTATTAGCTTCTCAATGATGTCGGAAATGACAGCTGGTAACTCGGGTAACGTTACGTCGGAAAAAAATCTCAGACTGCGGACGATGTAGCGAGGCTCAGCGTAGTCCATAAATCTTCAGAATATGACATCCTCACCAACGAAAAATAAAACTTCCACACTGCTGACATTTTGAATTTTCCTCTCCGCTGTGAGCTCGGGTAGGCGCATGTGACGTCATCGCGTTGCGCTGCCGCTGCAGGCAAAAACAGCATCTTTTATATCGGCAAGTTATTTTAATGGAATGGCCGATGTCTGATATTGAATTTTAACGTTAATATCGGCCGATACCGATACCATGCTGATAATATCATGCAGCCCTAGTACTTATAAGCACTTTTCTATCTTATTCCGACCCTCAAAGCTTTTTACAACACAATCTGTGCCTTCATTTACCCATTCATACAGCACTCTACTAGATCTATACAAATAATAATCAGAGCTTTATCACATTCATACACCAATGGGACACACATTGGAGGCAATGAGGGGTTCAGTGTCTTGCCCAGGGACACTTCGGCATGTGACTGCTGGTGGAATCGAACCCCCAACTTTTGCATTGGAGGACGACTGCTCTAACCCCCCCCCCCCCCCAAGGCTAAGTAAGAAAACATGTCTACTTATAGTTTTACAGATAAAGCATTCATGGAAACGTGGAAACATTTGTGTGGGCTATATATTTCCATCTGTGGCCAGGCAAGCAAAATACAGGGCAATGAGGATCAGCATCTATACTCAGGAGAGGGTCATAGTTGGAAAACAAGTGGTACGCTGATGTCTCCCATCGCTGATGGGTTTAAACAGTGAGTGTTTGTAGTTGTTGAGATGAGTGTTTTACTGAAGTGAAATTGAACAGAGAATGCAAGTACAAGTACAGGTCCTCCTCATCTTCCTACAGGATCTGTCAAGTATGACAGATGACATACATGGGTGACATACATGGCCTCCACTGGGTATGAAGTATGACAGGATCTGTCATACTTCATACCCAGAATGCACTGCAGCGTAAAAAACATGGCAATGTCAGTGTTAAAATATTTTATTTAAATTTATAAAATCTAAACAGCCTACAATATTTTTACTGTATTGTTTTTATATCATAAATAAATATTTCTCAAGTAAAGTCTATTGTTACAACTAATCATGGTCCCCTTTAATGTTTTTGGTGCAAGATTTTCAAGTGGTAGAAGTTCCATTGTGTAGAAGAACACTGTTTTCATGTCCGAGACAGCATTGAGTGATGGATCCTGGTGAGTGGATGGAGCAATTTTGTCTACCACTATGTGCAGTGTTAGAGCCAAGGGGTGGGCCACGATAAATTATTCTTCAGGCACCCCAATCATTTGAGGAAACTATAATGTTAAGCCTAAAAAGTTAAGTCTGGCCTTCTGGACATTCATAAAACAAAACAAAACAAAACAAACAAACAAACAAAACGTAGAAAAGTTTCGTTTTTCATCTGAAAGACTTCTTCAGTCTGAGGTGCTGTATTCAGTTCAGTCTTATAAATAGCACCTTCTCATAGTGGATCAACCAGTTTGCTGCTGACAACCAAAACCAGCTGCTCACATGATCAAGGAGGACCATAAGCCTAACAATGGATCATTAGCACACTGGTGGCTGTTTGCTATTCACAGAGGCCTGAGTGATACTAGCAATAACAGCATTGTAAGAGGGGGACAGTTGAACACAGAGTTTCCAGAATGATGGCACATTAAAGAGGGGTGGAGGCCTCCGTGTTCAGTTGTTTTTTGTAAAGGAACCTTTCTCATGCCTAGAAGCGACCACACCACACAATTAAATATGGTACCTTATTTTTCAAGTTATTATGTCCACAACATACAAGGATGGATGAACGGTACTTCCATTTCGCTCTCTTCACTCTGCAACAGGGAAAAAGGCAGTGAGCATGGCACTACAGCTATCGGGTGAGGTGAGGACAGATCAGGTGAGGACTGTTAGCCAGCTCAGGTCATGAACTCCACAGAGATGGCAGCTGTGATGGAACCTGCCTGAGTTCTGCTTCATTTTTAATGACACTCAGTCACAAAAATGGTGTGATAACCTGAACCAATACAAACGCTTTTACAGTCAAGACCCTGATTAATTCATCCAGGGGAAACCAGTGAGGGAAGACAAGCAGCAGCTGGCACTTCCATTTAACGTGACAGCAGCCCATTTTATCCTTATTAGGAGCTCCATCCACACAAGGAGCCAGTACGTCAAACCCTGCACAGACCTGTCCCGGCTACGAAATCAGGGTAGCTGTTAAATGGCACATAAAACCCATTTATTGCCATGACTTCTAAGCTCATGACACTACAATAAACACAGTTTTTTCTCTGAGATTTTATGTGACAGTGACTGGACCAACCATAATGTGGGGGATCATATAAACAGTGAATACCAACAAGGCATCTTGAGGTCAAGGAAAATCAGAGATGAGGGTGCCATGCTGAAGAGGCGTCAATTATACATAGGTGTGAGACAAGGACGTGGCCATGGAGACGAAAACAGAAGCGATAGGTAATCTGAGAGTGCAGGTGAGCCACCTTACTCTTCTTCAGATTAGACACAGCACACAGGTGAAGGCTCTCACTGCAGGTAGACCGCTCCTCAACTCATCTCACCATGGACCTGCTGTCTTTAGTGCTTTGTGTCCTGTTGGAAGCCCTGGCTGTGTACAGTAAGTACGCTTCTGTAACTTCAACTTGCAGCTCAGTACAGTAACATGAAATGGATTTAAGGAGAGTTAGAGTGAAAAGGAAGATGTGATTTTACAGCTGAATATGATGCACAGAATCAAAGTTCTGGATTTACAAAATCCGTATGCATGAATATGTACCTGGTCAATTATTAAAACACCTTCTACTATTTCCTGAAACACAGAGACCAAAAATGTGACGCACAGGTTTGTACATCTGTTATCACAGAATATTCTGTGTGTTTGTACCATGTACAAGACAAGCAAGAACAAAACTGTAAGGGAAAAAGGAAATATTTTAAAACAGGTAATCTTTGTGATATTTTAAAAGTAAAATTAGTCTGAAAACTTTGCGCTTGATTGCAATCACCAAAGTTTCACCTAAAACTTTATTAAAAACAGGTACACGGAGTTATTGTTTGTAATTTGATGACAACATTTTTTTTCAAAGAGAAGCAGTTGAAAAGATGTAAAAACATGAACTTATTCACTAAGCTAATTTAAAACCTCAGCAACAATAGATGAAGGGCAGCAGCACAGAAAACAATGGGCAGCTGTGGCAGACGCCCTCTTCAGTGATGGGAAATCATGTCACAAGAGAAAAGATCCACATCTCAGGTGTGGGACTTGAAACCTTCCAAGTTAATTTGGAGGGGGAGGGGTGGCGCAGAGGTTAGAGAAGGTGAGTCTATGATCAGAAGGCTGCCGGCTCGACTCCCCAGACCAACATCATCAGAATGTGGGTGGAAAAGTGAAACACACACACCTGCCTCCACCCTCACCTCGACCCCAGAGAAGGACCCCAACCATGCACTCCCAAACAGGTCTCTCTTGAAAAAGAGTCCTTGTGACTCAATGAAGCTACCTGTAGCTATAAATAAAAATAAAATAGTTTAAGAAAGGAGGGCAGTTGTCAAACATTTAATATTTTCCACTTTCTCTACAATAGCTTTTCACAAACTTGAGTTAGCTATGTCTGTTTTTTGGTTTAGTTTCATTAAAATTGTTTTATGTTGATTCACTCTGTTATCTTATCATTCCTTGTGTTTTATTTAGTAACACTCTATAATTTGGTTTATCCCTTGTGTCATTCTCCATTTCATCCCTGCTCCTCATCTCTCACCTGCCCCTCATTCACTAATCAGATCAGCTGTGCTCAACTGCTCTCATCCCTCCCTCTCACTCAAACTCCCAGTTTTCTCTCACTCATCAATCCATCATCTTGGCAGTTTGTTCCCTTGTTGTTTAACAGGCTGTGTTTTGTGTCACAGATTTTTTTTTTATCTGAAATTATTTTATTGTGCATTTTGTGTGTTATTCACTCTGACACAGCTTCTATCAAATGTATGGCTGCAGGTTGGAGGAAATGGTTTGTCTTTGTGAAAAGTAAGTCATGACTTTTCGTCACTTTTGTGATTTTTCTTACTAAGAAGATGACAAACAATATAAACCCATTGTTAAAGATTAAGTTCCGATATCTTATATAATGTACTCATGTGCACCTTCATCTGTGTGTTGATCTGACACCTAATCTGGACAGTCCACACGTGCAAAGTTCTTGTTTTGTTTGTGGCACGTGGCACTGCTGCTCATTGTGGATGAAAATTAATATCTTGGAAGATGTTAGAAGGTGTAGCTTTGCTCTCAATGGCAGGTACGTGTTTGAAATTTCTTTCAGTCACTCTTTGAATAGGAAAGGATGAATGTATGTATGTATGGATGGATAATGGATGGATGATGGATGGATGGATGGATGCCGGATGGATGATAGATGATGATGGATGGATGGATGGATGGATGGATAGATGGATGGATGGATGAATGATGGATGGATGGATGATGGATGGATGATGATGATGGATGGATAGATGGATGGCTGATGGATGGATGAATAATGGATGGAGTATGGATGGATGGATGGATGGATGGATGCTGGATGATAGATGATGGATGGATGGATGATGGATGATGGCTGGCTGGCTGGATGGATGGATGGATGCTGGATGGATGGAT